AGAAGGCCACACCGTCTTGACCGTCATATCTATGAAATCTTTTTACTTAAAATACCACTCTTTGTAGAAGGCACATCGGGCTGAGGATACCAATGAAAAGTATGAGAATGTACTAAGCCAAATTTTCAATGCTGGAAAATCCACGCAAAAATAAGATGAGCTCTAGAATAAAATATATAAAAGAAAATATACTACTTATACAGTATAGATGATAAAAATATTGTCGTTGAGATAGCTTTAGTTGAAAGGCTCTGAAAAAATAAAATTTTAGGGATACAATTGTCTAATAATGAAAAATAATCATTAATATTTGTAATAATTGTGAAATAAAATCTGATTAAAACACACGACTTAATGGTATAATTATGATTATTGTATTTGAATATAGGATGCCCGAAGGCGGTGTTTGTCGCCCGAGAGGCTGCATGGGCGGGCCTAAGAGTGGCGCTAGTCGCACAAACAACCCGCGGGAAGGTCTGAGGCATGTTGGTTTACTTGCCCGAGACGGGCAGACCCTGGTTTACTGGGGCTCCACGATAACAGAAATCGACCCGCGCGCCTACCAGTCCCCGTGATGGCTATCCGGCCGGAGGGGGTGGGCGTGTCGGGATGAGACGGTCGTGGCCTAAGCGCGTGTAGCGAGATCGGCAGCAAAATGATTAACTCAATTCAGACTACTGCTCGGGCGACTACTTTTGCACCTCAGCCTACGTGACTCGAGCCAAACAATCTCGATTCAATTTATCTTATTCGAGATGTATTCACTTTATCAGAATAACTTATGGTGGAATTTTCCTAAAATAATGCGAGTAGAGCTGACGTTTCCACTGAATTTCAGTTGGCGAGGCGTGGTCGAAACTTCAGGAGAATGTGAATTTCTATGGAAACATCAGCTCTACTCATATATCAATTCCACTACCAAATATTCATCATCTTAATCGAAATATGGTGTATACAATAACTGAAACCTTGCTTATATGCGAAAAATTAATTTATCTCCTATCAACTCGTCTAATCTCATGTGACCTCACCTCGACTAAATGAATATTAAATTCGTCCCATCGCCACTCAATTTAATTCAACTCCTCTTAACTAACCTCACCTCATCTACAATCAACCCGACTAAATTCATCTTCACTCAACTCATCTCACCAATCCTCACTTCTCCCCCCGACTCAATTCGTCTCATCTATCATCAACTTGACTCAATTTATAAAAGCTCAGCTCAAATTATTTCCCCTATACTCAAGTCTTCTCATCTCATCTCTTCTAACATCACCACATTTACCCTTAACTTAACTCAATTCATTTCATCTCAGCTCGCCAACTCAATTCAGACTACTGCTCGGGCGACCACTTTTGCACCTCAGCCAGCCCCACCTACTCAACTCATCAAACCTCAATAAGCCAAATAATCTCGACTCAATTTATCTTATTCGAGATGTATTCACCATATACGGAAGAACTTGTAGTGGAATTTTCCTAAAATGATGCGAGTAGAGCTGACGTTTCCACTGAATTTCAGTTAGCGAGGCGTGGTCGAAAATTCAGGAGAACAACTTTTTGGAAAGTGAAATACTATGGAAACATCAGCTCTACTCATATCATTATGGGACAATTCCCCTACCAAATATTCATCATCTTAATCGAAATATGGTGTATACATTTCATATAACTGAAATCCTGCTTATATGCGAAAAATTAATTTATCTCCTATCAACTCAATTCGTCTATTCTCACGTAACCTCACCTCGGCTAAATTAA